GAAGGAGTATTAGGTATGTTCACCACCTTGAGTTATTTATAAAAATAATAAAGGTGGGATAAAAAAAAAATCTAAAAAAAAAAGTTGAATGTCACAGTCAAAGTATGTCAAAAATACTGTGGGTTTATTATATGCCCTGGCTTCCTAGGGCATATAACTCATATTACTCATCATCAATAAGCACCAATCATAATGAATTTAGGAGTGCCTATTCCCACTATGTGAGGCTCTAATCTAGGACTCTGTGAACATACAGTATTTATCAGGCAGACGTGTCTGCAGAATCCAACTACTTCATCGAAATGACATGAGTGCCACACTGTCATGACACAAACTCCACCCATTTCATATGAACATACAACAAAGGGTGGAACTTATATTGTTTCATCACACACACACACCCCAACACCTCTGTTATCAGATATAGGGTAACTACCTCATTTCCATTTTCCCCAGCACCTCATAATGAAAATTAGTAAATTTAATGACTTACCTGTGAAGAAGATTTGTATATATGTTGAATATATGTTGGCACTTTCAGAGCAGAGAAAAATATAGGTTTCATATTATTGCTGACTTTTTGGAATATTGTTTCATTACTTTCACTAGGGAAGATTCCCATAACCATACCGTTTCCAATTATGGCTGGACTTAATGTTTCCTTCCCCAAATTCGGTTTACAACATCATCTATTTTTTTCTGTATCAAGCACAAAATAAACATGGAGTCTGGAGTTCGCTGATATCCATTAATGAATTTTGCAGTTGAGCTTCACGAGGATATGCCCATTCATATGTGAATGAATGAATCTCTATTCTATCTCTCTCTCTCTCTCTCTCTCTCTCTCTCTCTCTCTCTCTCTCTCTTCTCTCTCTCTCTTCTACAATCAGGATTTTGAATATTCAGATGGCAGCTACAAAGCATATCATCAGCTGTCCAGCTACATCCGAAGACAGTTCTTGCTCGAGTGTTTGTTCGTTTTTTAAACTTCATAATCAGAGAAGTGAAAACAAGATAGGAAGGAATTTTTGGTTTCAAACCACATATTTTTTAATGTTAATAGCCAGGTTTAAACAGCCAACGAATATGCATCAACATACCAAAAAAATCTGATGACATTCATTCTGAGATTAAATCATGTAGAAAGAGAATGGAAGCAGCTTATTCACAATCTGTTAGACCAACTGCTCATATACTGGTCACTTTTCATTGGAAACCAAAGGTCTCTTCTTAGGAGTGGGCAAGTTCAGATCCTAATCATGAAAAATTGGAAGGGTTGGAAAGGAAACTCACTAGCAGGGATCAGAATCCTGCTTTACAGTCTATGCTACAAGAGGTAGGGGGCAAATCTATCTATCTATCTATCTATCTATCTATCTATCTATCTATCTATCTATCTATCTATCTATCTATCTATCTATCTATCTATCTATCTATCTATCTATCTATCTATCTATCTATCTATCTATCTATCTATCTATCTATCTATCTATCTATCTATCTATCTATCTATCTATCTATCTATCTATCTATCTATCTATCTATCGCCACCCATCTCAGCCAAGTGACTCTAGGCAGCAAACAATTCCAAAACAATAAAAACAATTTAAAAATTGGATCAAGAATGGGAACTAAGTGGGTTTGGGACTATTCCTGTCTCTGTCCTAGGCTCTTGTGTACATCAGGCATTCAGATACTTCAGTGGCAAGTATCACAAACACATGAGAGGAGAAAAAAAGCACAGATATTTAGCAAGTCAACTTTACTGAATCTTCCAATTTTTATTAAGTGGAAATGGATTTATTTTTAACTAAAATAGCATAGATACCATGTACACAGGGCACATCCCTAGGCCTAAAATTAGCAAAACATGTCACTATATCTTGATACACATTTGTTTGTAGTAACTTCTATAAATATTGTTGCCACATCCATGGGGAAAAGTGTTGTCAATTTATCACTGTTGGCCAGAATTATTTTTGCAGCTGTGAAACAGGTTAATTGTGGACACTAAAAGATAGGAATGCAGGGTAAACATTCCTTATACCGTTAATGTATGTCATTATTTTAGCAGCCGTATGTTACCTTATTTACTGTCACACTAAGGTCATACTCATTACTTTAAAGGTAGGGTAGCGAGTCAGTGACGCATTCCTAGTGTGCAAATTCATCAGGTTTTAATAACTGGTTTAAAATAGTTTTGTGAGGACCATCCACCCTTATTGAACATTTGTGGTTCATGCCCTCATCATTATCTGAGTTTTTTAAAGAAACATCTGTAAATAGATTGTATTTACACATACAAATAAAATTGTGCACGAACCCTGTTTCTAAAACATCTAGATTTTTGTATTCTATTACCTTTTCAATTATGATTGAGTTTTACCCCTCATTTAGTAACATACAAATAAAATTGTGCACGAACCCTGTTTCTAAAACATCTAGATTTTTGTATTCTATTACCTTTTCAATTATGATTGAGTTTTACCCCTCATTTAGTAAATATAGCACTCATTTTCTCACACTAAACATTGCTTTCTCATCAATAAAATGCCCAACCATAGTCTACATTGATCAACTGATAATTTACTCCATCTGTACACCAATTGAAAAGAATTAATAGAATACAAAAATCTAGATGTTTTAGAAACAGGGTTCGTGCACAATTTTATTTGTATGTGTACATTGCTGGAGTAAGAACCTGAAATGCATCTATGTTGCATGTAAAGAAGCATTCAGTGTACTTGGGATCAGCACATATATGCAGATGGCTATTTCATGTACAGAACACTTCCTCCCTCCCTCTCTCTCTCTACTCTGTATATGTAATACTGAATATTTAATATTAGGGAATGCATTAAAATTCTATTTTCAGGCTACTCATTCAGAATTACTTGCTGACTTCATTGATTTACATTAAAAGACCAAAAAAATCAGAACTACAAAACTGAATCATTGTGAAATGTTTTCTCACACTGGTGATCTGTGCCGCAACCTATGTAATTTAGAAATATGACAAGTGTCTCCCACTCCATTTCATTGGAAGCAGTGAAATGTACCCCCTCTCATTTATTTTCCACTTTCACCATATCCCCTTTGGGTAGACTTATCTACTTTAAGTTCATATCCTTACTGCATAAAAGAAATACTAACACATTGAGATAGTGACTCAATATATTGGCCGGTCTTCAGTGCCCTGTGAACCTCAATGAGTTCATAAGTAGTAACAACATTTTCCTTTTGGAGTAGCTCCCCACGTTATATAGCCAATTGCTTTTCCTATGGAGGGAAATTTGAAAAGGATTTTCTGAATGGACCTCTTTAAAATGCATCAAATATTCCAGCAGGGATATTTTAGATGGGGGAAAAAAGCTCTTTAGATTCTGGCCATTGATAACTTCTCAACATTCCTCAGATGGTTGTAATACTGAAAGTTGCTATTTGGCATCTTGCAAAATATTTCGAAACAATTTTGAGAACACATTTATTTTTGGTGAAAAAAATCTACAATCTTATATGTCAGGCATATTAAGCATTGAGGCATGTTCTATTAGCTATTTATTTTCCATAGAAGAAATCATTTGGGGAAAAATAAACAATCAAACATGTACATTGACAATCCATGTGAATTTTGCAGGATCTTTACTCAAAGACAATTTCTGCTTGAGATTCTATCATTCTGCAAGATTTATTGGCTGCTGTATTCCAGTATAAACATTTTTCTGTGGTTACGGATAATGGATGAGGTGGACATCTGGAGCTCACTGGATTGGGAAAGACCAAGGTAGAGGATTTCCTTTTCTTGCTAGTGTTAATCATCGCATTGATTTGATTGTCTAGATTATTCTAATGGAGGTAATTGTTGTATGAAATCTGCTGAAGTTTGCTTCTGTATTCTGTATTTCATTGAATGGCTGGGTGTTTTCAAAATATTTGTGGATATCCATGGGCTTTATGTGAGAGACAGACTAAAGTGACAACGTCAAAGAAATTAAAACACATTCTTGAATATTAATACTGATTTAAAACATAACATACTTAAATGTTCTGCACAGCATTTATTGTCATTGTGGTTAGTGTAAACTATATAAATCACAAAACAGTTCTTCCTGCATTGCAGTTGTCTGCCTGAAATTTGTTAACAATGCTGCATTTTAGTATAAAGTCAGGGATATATGGAGAGTTAGCTATCAATCATTGTTTTTAAGTACAGTGAGATACAAATCTTTATAATATAAATTACTTGCCATTACAAAAAAAAAGGGCAACTCGGTTAGCTAGTTAAGTACAAAAATCCGTTAACCTCTATAAATAACGAAATGCAAGAAGCACAATAATACAACACATACGTCGGGTTACAGTATTTGAATATGTAATTGGAGACATGTGGCACAGGCACATTATATGGGGCAGGCAAAAACACTGAACACATTAGAAGTTTAAAAATGTAAGCACTTTGGGGGATATGCGCGCATGATATAAACATGAAGCAACACTCTGAGCAGACAAAAGGAGCCACTGACAGTTGTAAAGCATTAGAACCCTGGCAAAAACCTGTCCAAACAGCTGCAGTGGGATATTGATTGATCATGTTTTTATTCTTACTGACCAAGTGCTGCAGACAGCCATAGGTCTGAGAAAAAGCCGAACGCGGGCATCTACACACTCACAAGCGCGCCCAGAAAGTAATTTAACAGATGTCGGTAAGAGTGCAGCATCACAACTTTCTCAGTTAAAATAAAGCGGGAATGTTCAGTATTGGTTAATTTTTATGGGCAACACAGGCCAGGATATGGAAGGGGAATTTAATTCATTTATAATGGAGGCCCAGATCAAGGGGGAAAAAAGAGAGCAGGGTAAAAACTGCTCACTGATTGATATACACTGAAGAGCACTATAGGTAGGCCATTTTTTAAAAATCTTTTTTAAAGAAATGTGAGGTGTTTAAGAATACCAAAATGTTACAGATGGTATTAACTGCAACTCCAAAATGGAATCCACCAAACATTAAAAATGAAAGGACTGATCTGAAGTCATCTAGCAGATTTAAGGTATCTTCTTTTATCAAGTGGAACAGAAATCAAACATTTCTGATGGAAATTCTTAGAGAAATGTAACTTTTCTGTAAATTTATTTTCATAAAGGTTCTGCAGCTGGACCGTATACATGTTAATCACAAGAAAACCCCACTGAATGCATTGCTCACTCCTAATTATAGATAGGAACAGAATTCTAGTCTACAACAGATATTACAAAGGGGTTAAAGATTTATTTTTTGTTCCTAAATAACTTTCTTCTGTCAATTTTTAACTAGATCATGGGTAAATTCATGACTAGAGGTGGCAGAATTGTTTTGTTTGACTCTTACCCGGTGCTTGGCATTCTTTTAAAGTCACAAACAGGGTCCAATTACTATTATAGAGTTGACTCCATTGTTACCTATTTAAGTATTTTTAACCATATTTATATAAACAGGTTTTTTTTGCCAATATAAATGAAGAGCCATTTGAGTCAATGAAAATAATCATAGTTCATATAAACTGATCTTGGTTTCTTATGGTGGATCTAGAGAGTTATAGGATACGAATTGAAAGGGCGTATTTATTTAATCTGCATACTGCCACATGCCCTCCAAACAAGCATTACTTTATTTGTATAATTCAGAATGCCTATCACTATAGAAATGGCATTGCAGAATGGAAAAAGTGGTGATGTCAAAAAATCCATTAGCATTACAATTCTTAAGTTTTGGTCTACCTTAATTTCTACATTTTGTAATCCCACCACTACTATTATATACATATAATTATATACATGTGGCATCAGGAATAATCAAAAGTAAAACTGACTGTTTCCCCTATATCCAATGATTTTGGTGATCAATGCTTTTAAAAAGAAGATTCACAGAATAAATCACATGATATATTTCATAATTTTTACTTCCCAATAACATACAGGTATAAATTATTTTTAAAAAATGGCATTCTTTGCAAGTGATTTCTTTCTGCAACTGGTTTTAAAATTAAAGAAAAAGCAAGCCAAAAATGAGGAAGCAAAACCAAATGTTGCTGTATCCTCTAGACCTGTTCCACTCTAGCCTTAATCAGCGATTCTGACATCTAACATACAAATCCAAGTTAAGAGCTATTCAGTGCTGTATTATGAACAAGGCAGTTTTAAATTTTGAAGCATTCTTCCAAAATAAGCAAAATTGGAAGATGGATACATTCTTGGAACTCAATGGAGTGTTGTTATGTATAATGAACAACAAAAAATAATCCTATTCTCAGGATGAAAAGCTTTTTTTACAATATTCAGTCTTGAATAAAATTTAGAAGAAATCTAGGCCCCTGAAAATAGGGGTATTTAAAAAATACAGACAGTAGACTTTTGAATGTAATTCAGAGACACTGAATTTTTTTAATAATTCCAAGGGCTAGGAATTCTAGCTTAACACTAGTCTTGAAGAATAATACATCCAGTGATTATTTGAACTTGCTTATTGTTCTTGTTTCATATTTTTTTTTAACTACAAGGTAGCCTCCATTTCATCATCATTTTATACAATTATCAGCTTAATTTAAATTTACAAAGGCAATTTGCATTTGAGGCTTCCAAATCCTAATAAAATACTGATATTTTCATTGTTTTTGCCACGCTTCCTGCTAAATGAATGGTTTGCATTATTGAAAAAAAAAATTGTAATTGTTAAAAAGTGGTGGAGTGCATTCTTTAAAAAGTCTGCTGTTCTTTGCATCAAAATGCATTCCTTGGTTTTAAAATGTACTCTGGTTCTTAGTGACTATAATTTCCATAAAACTTTGTGTCTCCATTTACAGCTGGATTTAAATTTTTCAGGTACAGCAAAATTCTGCATTATGGCTATGACAATGCAGGAAACTAGAATACAGTGAACAGGTTTGTTGGTAAACAAGAGGAATTCCCCATTCAGTAGTACAGGCAACATTACTGAAAATAATCATAAATCCGATTCACAGAATTTATAAACAGACTTTCTGGGATTAATGCAAAAATATATTTATTGCAAGCTCTAACACATCCTTCTGTATACCAAACCATAATTCAGCTGAAAGTGAGACAAACAGGTACAGTGTTATCTGAGAACCATCCTTGTTTTCTTCACATCCTTGAAGGCTCCAGATCTCTGTCTTCTAGTAAATTTATCAGGAAGCCAAAGCTGTCTTTTACTGATTCCATATCATCCAAGGAACAGGGTTTAAGTATCCAACGTTTCCCTCGCGCAAGTGGTTCAAGTTCCAAATACTTTTTGATCTATTTAAAAAAGAGAAAAAGAAGCATTTTTTTTAAAAAAAAGTTAATTCTATGTATTTGCTGGCTCACTAATCTTTTCAAAATAGAAACGTCTGGATGCTCATTTTTTGAGTTATTTCCTACTGTTCTTGAAACGAAGTTTATGTTGTGCTCTGCAAATGTTTATGTTATGGACAATTAGCTTGTCTGGAAGCTACTTTTCCATTAGTACATTAAAGCATAGAAAGGGTTGTGAGATGATTTTTGTCTATTAATGAAACAGATCAAATCATGTAAAATATGTAGAACGTATCAAATAGCAGCTTTTATGAGTAGGATGGAGATACACCTTTTGCTTGTACAAACTGCTTGCACAAGTTTCTAAATTAGAGACACAAGTGAATTACACAAGTGAAGACAACATAAAGATATATGTACAAACCAAAACTAATTTTAATGAAATAGACAAACATCAAATTCCATCTAAAGTTATATGACAGGAACTATTCAGAATGATTATTGGTGAGTAAGACAGTTTTGTAATTTATTCTTTATGATTTGCTACAAAATGACCAGGTCAACACCCTTCAGACAGCAGATTGGAACTCATTTAATTCACTTGGTTCCACACATCCTAAAAGTTCCAAATCAGCTATAAACAGCTATCAAAACCAATTCAACATGTGTTTTTGAGAGCAAATATACAGTATGCAATGGCAAGAATTACTCAGTAAGCATTTAACTGAATTGATCAGCAAGCATTTATGGAAATTATGGGTATTGGATTTAAGATTGAGAGCACCAGGTTGGGAAAAGCGTCATAAAGTAAGAATCATGGAGTTTTCAGGAGAGGCACTGGTAGGACAACAGCGAATTTCTTCCCAAACTTTATACACAAATATGAACTATGAAGACTGAAGAAAAAAACCAAGAATTTTGCTGCCTAATACAAAGTATAAAATGGTCTTCTACCTCCATTCTACTCACAGAACCTAAAAATAAAGTTTTTTTCAAGTTAAGCTTGAATTCTTCCTGTGCACCTCCAGGTTGCTTTCTTGGCAATAATACAGGAGTGGACTGCCTTTTTCTGGAATGTTTTCTCAACTTCTCAGTACAGCCTAGAGCCCTGGAATTTTGTGGAAGTCTTCCATTCACATACTAACCAGGTTTAAATCTCCTTAGCTTTTCAAGATCCATTGCTTGGATGCAGACAAGCAAACCATTAGTTGAGTCTTACCTCAAAACCCAACAATGAAATAATGTCCATCACATCTGAGGACAACAAATAACTTAGGGAATTTCCATTAATTTCTCTTCCCAGCACTGGCAGACTGGCAAAGCCTCACTTTGCTCAATGGGACAACTGACCCTGAGAATTATTTTTCCCTAAATGTTTAGATGAAGATAGGCACATAGTCTAAATTATGGAGAAAGTGGATTCAACATATATTCTCCAGTCTAAAAAATATTGCACACTTTACTTTATAACAAATGTATGTTCCTTTTAACTCTCCTTTCTGTGTGGAAATAAATTGTAGAAATATATTAAAGAGAAACTAATACTAATAGCAACATTATATACCATATCTTAACCAAAGCGCTATATAAAAGTAGTTCATGAGATTCTCAATAGAATACACATGCATGGTCAAGATACCTAGTGAATTTATAGAGCAGTAAACAACACTTTATTAGCCTTAATTTTAATGACCAATGCCAATATTATTCCTTTTTATATCAGTGTGTGATGTTAGGAACAGGTCATCACCATCAAACTTTTGGCATGATACTAGAGATACTTCAGAAGGTCCATAAAGAGAATTATTCAAAGATCTGCGTGTGATCCCAAATGTAGGAGAGACATTCATGTTTAATAGGGCTGTACAAACCCTTTGAACGAGGTGCTTTGCAACACATGAGAATGCAGACAAAGCATCTCTTTTCAAATTAAGGCAGCAGTGGTACTTTCAAAGCTTGCATATCTGGCTTGGAAGCTGTTTCCAGCTATCTATGTGTATGCAGCAAAATGGATAGGCATGCACACGGATGCAGAGACAGCCAGTAGCAGTTTCTGAAGTAACTGCACAAGTCTTGCAAATGATGCAGCTTTGCACATTGTTCAGAGTTTCCACTCCAGCTGCAGAACACTTCTTTCAAAGGGTTTATTTAGTCCTAATATCTACTCAAGATACTATCTGTGTATGAAATTTACTACTTGGTAAATAAAGTAATTTTAAAAATATGTATTAATTGTGTTATCTATGGCTAATTCCTTCTCTGAACATGTATTTGAAATGAAATTCTTTGAAAAAATGATGAAATATCATAAAGATATACCATATCTTACCCAGTCACTGTCTGTCTGATTTACAGTGACCAAATCAGCAACTGTATGGCTTGAATGTCTCCCAGAAACAAAATAAAGAACCAGACCAAACAAAAACCCTATCATATTCTCTGGGATAAACTCAGACTAAGTTAATTAACCACTGGACCTTTGAAATCAGTGGGACTTAAGTAAGTGATGTCTAATTTGTCCCATCAAGACTTGAATCTGACTCCAGTATTATAATTAAAATGCAACCTAGTTAGGATAATGATTTCATAAAATTTGTCATCTACACTGCCCTAGGAATTTGAATTGCTGTATAATGCTATGTTCTTAATAGCATTGTGAAATATACATTTGGCATACCTGAAAATGAAGCTGTGATACGGATGTTAAAACTCTGATTGTACTTTTGAGCAAAACAGATTACAGTGGCTCATTTTGCAAAGACAAACTGACAACAATATCCAGAGTGGAAGCATAAAATCACTGTTAGTTTAGCTGATAACAACGTTAGTTAATGCTTAGTTGACTAAAAAAACAAAACAAAACAAAATGAACCTGAGATGTTCATAACCCTAAACTTAATGTAATGAAAGTCTAGCAAATACAACCTATAGACAGAATGATATTGAAATGAGATGTGTATTTGCCAAATACTGTAACAATATAGAGTAACATGTAGGATTTGTACAAATGGAGCATTAAAAGATTGGTGTATTTTAGAGAAAATGAATGAATACTGTACATTTTGTATTTTGGGTACTCAGCATGTAAAAAATCCTGCAGGTAACCTGTTAAAAAAATATGGAAGCTGATTTTAGAATATTAGTCAGCAGCTGTCTGTATGACAAACACACTGAATTAAAAAACTAAAATTTGCATTTCCACAACAGAAAACTTTAGAGGCAAACATCAACCTTTCCTGTGATGTAAGATCATGAGTCACTGTAAATATGTGCTTTCATTAATCAGACAAGTATTTGTAGTTGTTGCGATAAGAGGAAATCAATACTTTTGACCACTTAAATGGAAATAAAATTAAAATGGTCTACGCTAGGACTGGAAACATAATAACAAGCGAGCATAAAATGGGTGCACCTGTTTAGTTTAATTTACTTTCTGATCAAACTCCATTTACTTTTGCCCCAAAGATGCTGTTATTTTCTCAGTTCTCTCAGTTGTGACACAAAGGGCATAATGGAACATCCTAAAAGGAAATTCAGAGAATGAAAAGCAACAAGAACATGGTCCAATGCTTTAGGAGCAACTCATACGGCCTTGAAATGTAGTTGCCAAGGTGCAATGAAAGCTGATTCAAAGATACGCACAGCAACACTTAGTCTAACTACAGAAATGCAACTCCATGGGTAAGAGTGTCTGTGACAATTTAACTAAAACCATTTCATTCCTTTTATTCACAGAATGCACAGAATTCAGAAAAATGTAGGTTCTATTATGATCTTACTGAGTGCTACACTGCAATATCACAGAAAACCCCAATTCTATTAAACAGTACTCAAATTATAATAGATATTAGACAGATATGCCCACTGTAATCTGATATATAATTAACTTCTTAATTTATTTCTTTTCTTGCAACCCAACTAAAATATATTAAAACATGACTGCCATTAAAAATGGCACCAATATGGAACAAAGTTTGCTGAGAAATATTCTGATCACTGAATGAAGTTAATGAGTTTAATTCCCAAACTCACATCTCAGAGACAACCAATTACCCTGTCTGAAACACAGGCTTGTAAAACTATCAAGTAATTGTAAAATGGTCTGCTACACACGAGTAAGATGTTGTTTAAATGGCTTGTTTGACTAAATGCATTCACCATGAAATTGATTCTGTTAAAACAGTATTTTAAAACTACATATACGTTAACTGCATGGATAGAAAATGAGAAAAAAATCTGGCATTATAAAGGGTGGGCTTAGGCATGAGTCCAATTTTATGAGGTCGAGGGTTACTTGAATGAGAAACTCATCAACTGTGGTCATGCCCCATACAGGAACTAAGGAGCCTGCATACAATTAGGTTATGCTGCTATTTCCATGTCAAGGACAATAAGGTCCTCTCTAAACCATCACAAAAGCATGTATTTAAATGATATGGTAAGAGGAACTTACAAAAATCTCTTATCTTACCATATCCATGTAGAAGCACCATGTTAAAATACTTACATTTCATTCTACAAATAAAAGCACTGCCAATAACTGTATGATCGGCATTTTGTTGTTTAAACCCCTGTTTGCAGCTAATACAGCATTTGAGCAAGTCACGGTATATACAAGAAAGAAACTTCCATTCCAAAGGTAGTATATGCACTGAAGAACATAAAAAGAGCTCGTTTGGATTAGATTGTCTAGTCTGATGTTCTGTTCTTACAGCAGTTAATAAGATGCCAATGAAAAACCCAAAAAGAGGTTGAGAGGTCACCAGCATCATCCTAATCATGTTTCCCAACAACTGGTATTGAGAAACATAACTTACTGCCTTAGTAACTAGACACTGACTGCCTTCACCTTAATGACAGTACTTTTCACACATTACACAAAGACAACCCAAATTTGCCACTCAGTACATTCAGTACAAAGCTTTTGCCAATTCTAGTTCTCATCACAGTGTACTTGTATTCACATGCATCATTTCAGAAAGCAGTCCTGTATTTTTTTTAAA